GGACTGTCGAGACTGGATAGAATTAAAGGTTAATCCCGCGGGGTGTATCTAGCCGGTGAAGGAGATAGAGAGGAAGGGAGGGAGAGAGAGAGAGACAGAGAGAGAGAGAGAGAGAGAGAGAGAGAGAGAGAGAGAGACAGAGAGAGAGAGAGAGAGAGAGATTGCTTTCCCTCCCCTGTCGTGTTTCTGCTGCTTTGTCTTCCTTTCCGTGAGGAGGAGGGTTTTGTTTTTCACGGAGCCTGAAGGATACCATAAATATTTGCACTTTTAAGTGCTTCTGGAATATAAGAGCAGGTCGCGTCGCGAGACGACTCGCAGCTTAACATGACTTATTATTTGTACTCTCATAGTTTATAGTTTTGTTGAGTTTTTGGTAAGCTTTTGCGACATATTTGCGATGATTCGTCGGAAGCAAAAAGTGTCAATTTTCTGATATACTTATAGATAGACTTTTTCGTTCTTACCATTTCGAATTTGTAGATTCTAACATTCTTGACTCGTTAATATTTCAAATCGTTGCATTCATCGAAGACAATTACGTTTGCGACGTAATTGTCAGATGAAAATTGCGCAACGAAAGTTTAGCTGTAAAAAATTAAATGAGGAGTGGGGAACGTTCACGAGAAGCGCGACTAACGAGTACAGCGAAGGACGAAACGAATAGGACAAACCGCGAGAACGAAAACATCGAATAGGGGTTGTTGCCGCCCTTCGGTCGTTTGCCGTAGTATCGCCGTAGCGATCCCGCAGACAATCCGTAAGGGCTTAGCACTGTTTCAACAAGGGATTACCAGCGCGTCCCTAAGCCGAACGATACGCGATCCTGTAGAGCTGCGCGTCGGGGACAAACATTTAAATTGCCAAGATTACGCCGAGTGGCTGCGTCGCGAAGACAGAGACGTAACACACCGTTGTCCGAGGGACATGCGATTGGCGCGCATGTTAGAGCATCGTTGACGAGCATTCACTTTACACTTTATTTTACCTTACTTTCTGAAATTTGTCCAAGACGAAAGAGGGAGGTAGCGGATGATAGCGTAAATGGCTGACGCCACGAAGGTACGAAGAAAAAGGATGTATCGATTTAGTCGGCGTTTCAGCTTTATCGTCCCCTACGTTTCCGCACGGTCCTTCCACGCGTCTCAAAATAGGACAAAAAAAGAAGCGGAAAAAGGGAAAGAAAGAGGAACAGTATAACTTGAAGGAAGGAAGGAAGGAAGGAAGGAAGGAAGGAAGGAAGGAAGGAAGGAAGGAAGGAAGGAAGGAAGGATGGATGGTAGGTAGATAGGTAGGTAGGTAGAAACTATACAGGATCTTTTGTATCGCCTCTCACGCGTCGACGGAAAATATTTTCCCTTTACGCGAGACGCGCGAACACACGGCTCTCTTTTTCTGGTCTCGAACGAGAAGAACCGCGAGCAAAACGGCCACCCTCCTTTAACCGCTTTCTCTCCTGTCCGCAGGGATTCATAAGAAAAGTTACGTACTTTGGGGCGGAGACATCCCTCTCTCGAAAAAGCTCCGGCTCGGTTTAGCTTTCGATCCGCTCGTTCGAGTAAACGCTCGTGGCTTCGTGGGATCAACGCTTTTCCTCTTCTCGCGTGTCCTCTTTGGAAAAGTTTTCTTTCTTCTTGGTTGTTCAGTTGGCGGTAGCCTTGTTTTAGCCACGCCGTAGAGGAGGAGGGTACGTACGAGGCAAATATTCCTCAGCTTTATCCATCGAGAGGGGATATTTTCTTCCCTCGCAGACAACAGTTAGTGTTTAGAGTAAGGATACTACCGATATTTTAATCTGCTCGCGCGAGTCAGCTCTCTCACATTCTCCATAATATGTATTTCGCTCCAATCCCACATCAGCATACAGCAATTTTGCCGAGTAACCGGCAGAATTATTTCGTATTCACCAAGTTTGGCATGCTCGCGAGCGGACGCGTGAGCGTCGAATAGGCAAGAGCTTACGGTCGTAAAAGTTTATCGCTTTTCCTTTCCGTATTTCACTCCTTTCCCAGTTTCTCGAGGGGACGAGACTTTGTCGCTTCTCCGCAAAGAGGATCCCTCCTGAGCACTGACACGCGGCCATTTGCACGTGCTCGCGATATTTCTGCCTGGTATCCACCTGCTTCTTCCATCCCATCTCTTTATACCCATCTCTTTCTTGTCTTCGGGCAGGACACATCCACTTTAACCGCTTTACGATGGAGCATCGTGTTGCCCACGTCACCCACGTTATTGCCCACGTTATTTCAATACGAATTCAATACGAATTATTATGAATTTATATCCGATAATCCGACTGTGTGAATTGTGTGCGCAACTTGATGAAACTTGAAGAGTCAATTGCTCTCCGATTGGTCCAAAGAATAATATAAAAGTGAACATATTTTTTTTGCGATTTTAGCAAAGAAGATGGGAATTCGGACGACGGACGCCGGTTCGTGCGGCGAAAAGTCATTTCGTAATTGCATTGTCGAGTCTCGCTGTACACTGTACAGTGCGAATGAGTGAGCCACGGGAAGGATCGAGTGCGACGGGATTTAATTCCGGGCGTTTGTAATTCGAATTGAATTTATCGCGGCGGAGAAACTATGAGCCGACCGACGGACGGACGGACGAACGAACGAACGAACGAACGAACGAACGAACGAACGAACAGAGTCGGTAGGACTGGCTTGCGGATGAATAATGGAGACCCCAATGAGATTTTCCAGTTCGCCGCGGGGTACCGTAATATTAGCTTACCGTCACCATCGCGACTCCGTTGTCGAAACGACAACCCGACCCGAGGTTTTAAGTTCGGCCACCCCCGCATGTTACGTTTTCATACCATTCTCTCACACCAAAGTCGTTTATTAACGGCGAACAAGCGCGGAAAATGCGAAATTTAAAGAGGATATATGTGGTAGGATATAGAGGTGAGGGCAGAGCCGCTGATGCTGATTATGAATTAATTAGAGTTATAGCGCGAGATATACGCGATACACCTATAGGATATTTCTTCTTGCTAGTTACCGATTACCGATGTAAAGTGTTACTACTCTCTTCCGATAACATTACGTCGCAACGAGATATCCCGACTCGAAACACGTAGCTGGATAATGCATTCCCGGGCATTCCCATCAATCAGATGAATGCTGAGATAGCGTGAAAGGGAAAGCAAGATCGAAGGAGCGGCAATTCGTGCGGCAGTCGCTGCTGGTGAGAAAATTGCTTTCGGTCTGGCTTTTCGCGACACTTCACCCAAGGGTGGTGCGAGATGCTCGTCGCCGGCGAGAGGTCGACTCTTAAAGAAACGAGAAACGAGAATGTATTTCCGGATGTATGCCGGTAAATCGAAAACCCGGGACGGCGATTGTACGATCGAGTCCCGACCGCTTCCCCCCGCTCGATGCTGAATAGGCTGCTTAGCTAAATTAGAAAAATTATTATAGGACAGAGGGAGAGAGAGAGAGAGAGAGGGGAGAAGAGGGGCAGGGACGCGTGGAATAGAAGAGTAGAATGCTTCCAGGATGAGGATAAGAAACGATGAAAAATAGCCGCGTGGTAGATTCATCGAACGCCAAGGGAAGAATTATCACTCTTCGCGCTAAATTCGCAACAATCTCTCCTCTTTCTCTCGTTTTCCTTCGTCTAGATGCAAAATGCAAAACACGCGTATCCGAATTCGATGTTTGAATTAGATTAAAACGTAAAGTTATTCGCACGTTTGGATCGATACAATCGTCACGGTTCATCTCGTCTCAGCAACTGCACGTATAACTCCGCAACTCCGTGTCACCCTTCTCGTCCTCATTCTTCCGCCAATATTTGCATTGTTCCGGTACAGTCTGGAGCTCTCCCTTATGTCCGTCCCTTTTCACAGGCGCGTTGCGAGCGAGTGAGCGAGCGAGCGAGCGAGCGAGCGAGCGAGAGAGAGAGAGAGAGAGAGAGAGAGAGAGAGAGAGAGAGAGAGAGAGAGAGAGAGAGAGAGAGAGAGAGAGAGAGAGAGAGAGAGAGAGAGAGAGAGAGAGAGAGAGAGAGGCGAAGGAAGCGGAGGAGGCCGAGGAGGCGCCGGGCCCTCGTAAATCCATTTATTTATTTATTTATGTGCCACGGGGATGCTCGGGCTGAGGGGGTGCGAGGCGCGGCTTATAGCCGGCGCATGCATCGAACCGGGAATCCCACGGGAACATCCGAATGAGGGGATGGCAAAAGTCACGGAGAACGCGTCTGGATACTCGACTCCGCACGGCCTATCCGAGAGGCGTGCTTCTCGTCGCTTGGAATATATCGAGAATGTTTATTTACCGTATTATACGTACGTTTACGTAAACACGTAAACATGTATAACACGATACTGACGATGTAACATTGAAACACATTGGTCGGTCGTCATCTCTCTGTAACGTACGACAAGACGTAAGCGACAAAGTCTAATGGGGATATCTCCGAGAGCGATTGGGAACTTTACCGTCTTAAATATCTTGCGCAGTTAATAATTTAGGAAAATTTACTAAAGTACCATCTTTTAGTGTTTAGTGTTAAAACTTACGTTTTAAACGTATATATATATATTCTATCATTCATTGCTCCAGAGAAGTGCAGATCTTTACATTTTACATCGCTAGAGAGCGATAGAGCGGTAAGGGAACCACTCTGTACAGCGGAGATAAATTCTCCCGAGGCATCTCACGGCTTGAAACGAAAATGCTGTTGTGCCACTTAGACGCAGGGAGGATCTCTGTCGCTCGATCCCTATAACCGTGACACATTGCCGCTTTTTTTCTTCCCTTTGTGATGGCGCGAGATAGACCCCCCCCGTCGTTTTAAAGCGACGACCGTATTAGGGATTACCGTAAGAACCGATGTCTCCTCCGTTGCGCACGCCATGTTACAGACGCGAGGAAGTCGAGACTTTCCATACAGATACGGAAGGACATTGATCATTCTTTTTCTTTTTTCATTATTTCTCACAGAGATTTCTCGCTTCTATCGATCGTCGTTTCTTCCAAATTCTCACTCACCCAATTATCTGTCTTCTGTCTACGTTCCAAGAGACGGTGCTGGAGTTTCGGTCCAGACCCTGAGAGGAAGGCTTTCACCAAACTGCGGGTCCTTTCTAGATGATGCGGCGCGATCACTTCGACTTGCGCCAAATATTTTTGCATGGTCGTCTCTAGATCCGGAACGGGAAGTTTCGGTAGAGTTTCCTCCTTCTGCAAATTGCAAGATTATGTAGAAATCGGGATAATTATCGCGAGAAAGGTGATGCATCGTTGTGTTTTTGCGTTTTTGTATGTAATACGCGATACATCGAAATTGTAGTATATGCGATTTTACATAGATAGATAAAGTATAGTTCAACCAGCAAACACAATCCTTTTTTATATCGGAATATATCAACTTGGTACAACCTTTCTCAGATCCTAATATCTCTTGGTGCTAAATTGTTTTCCGAACGATCGTCGAATCTTAAGCTCAAGAACAAAAATTGTGCGAGGAGGCAACTCGCACCGTTCAAAAGTTCGACGGTGCTGTATATTATACTTACGACTATATCAACACTCGTACAAGCATAGTGTAGCGATCGAGAGTCGATATTGCCGGAAACGAATAAGCGGGATGGAAAACGACGACACGGGTTAACCGGAAATTGGCAGACGGAAGGGTCACAGGACTTCACGTCCCGTTCCCTATACCGTGTATTCGTCGGCCCTTTACGGGGCCACGGCGATTGTAAAATAAAGAATCAATCGAGAAACGAAGCGTGCCTGGTGGTCTAAGGGCCCTTAAGGCCAGCACGGTTGGTTGAGCCGAATCCCCTTTTGCAGGCCTAACAAGACCAACTTTGCGATCCGGACACCCTCGTCTTTCGGTTCGAGTGTTTCCGGCGAGCTTGCGCTGGTGCGAGCGGGAAGCATAGTGAAAGAACGAGAGAGAGAGAGAGAGAGAGAGAGAGAGAGAGAGAGAGAGAGAGAGAGAGAGAGAGAGAGAGAGAGAAACCCCCTGTATAATAGACTTTATTCCCTTTTCGCTACATTCGCGTGTTTATAGACTCATTAGCCCTTGAGGCGATCGTTTTCACGTAGGTGCTCCTTTTTGAGCTTTTAATCGAGCTTACAGTACTTATTGTACAGGAGGAGGAGGCGAACATCGCTTATTAAAATCATTGAGTGAGTGTTAATATTCTGCATTTTTTACAACTACTACTTCCATCATCTATCTGTTCCACTTTTATCATAGTAAAAAAGAAGAAGAAAGAATAGATTCACAGCCTCCAATTTATTTATAGTTTCCATATTTTTATCACGTTGGCACCTTACCGACACAACTAATCAAGAAGAAGCTTGCTTTAGTCTCAGACATCTGGAAAGTTTTACTGCCAAATGGCCGTAATCGTGGTCCTCGGGAAACGCGTCCGCGTAGCGGAACGTGGCTGACTGCTTCGCGCGGTCCATCAGCGGTGACTCAGAAAGAATGGGTGTAAATAAGATGCAAGATGATGGATGTACTTACGACAATAAGCAGTATTTGTTTGCATTTATGTACAATACGTTCTCTTAGAATCGTAGATTTTGTGATGAAAGTATTTCTTTCTATTATACCAAACGCAATTGCTTGCAAGATCTTGGTAAATATGTATGTGTAGTGGGCGCGCGCGTGTATACTACACTAAAAAAAATACACACGAAGGAATATAAATATTCTTTACGTGCATCAGAGGAAACATCTCTCTCTCTCTCTCTCTCTCTCTCTCTCTCTCTCTCTCTCTTTCTCTCTCGACACGAGTGAGTGTCGCGATCAAAGGCTTCGGGATACGAGGGCAGAGTCTCAAACTGAGCAGAAGACGATTTCGGAAACGAAGATCGAGAACGAGGAGATTGACGCGAGGTTGCAGGCGGCGGGTGCAGGCCAGGGGTGTGTAAGGTCGTTAGCGGAGTTTCGAGCGGTGCATAGCAATGAGGCTTGAAAAGGGGATGGAAAACCTCCTGGGAATCCGGACACCCGTTATATGGAAGGCGGAACGAAGCAAAGGGCGTGCGTAGCGTGGAGGTGGGCGTAAGAACGGGCAGGGGGGGGACTGACTCATACCGCGCGGGATAATCGAACTCGTTAAGATCGTTCCCCGGATTCGTTTCGTGCGTGGAATCGCGTATCGTTCCCCGACGATTTTGCCTATCGACGTATCGACGAATCGGTCATTCGCCGTGACGTTTGTTCGTCCTGCGTACGCTGCCTTCGTGCTAAAGAATAGAGAGAGAGAGAGAGAGAGAGAGATGGAGCCAATTAATGCGCGCGATCTACAAGGGCGAGCGAGAAGACGTGTCACCCACGTGAGGGCGAAAAGGACTGCGGTGATGAAAGACAGTTACATCTCGCTGAATAATCCTGTGGAAGAGTCAGCTTCGACACGGTCCGCGAAACAAATGCGGGGTCGACTCGTGGCGCTCCTTATCGATGCAAAACAGCGCGGAGGGTCGCAGCAATTAAGAGATAACAAGGTTTCCTCCCCTCGGTGCCCCTCCAATTAGTAACGCCCCCGCTGCAGTGTGCCAGGCCTCGGAACAACCACCTCGGGCTCCCTTCGCCGCCGCACAGTCGACTACCCCCGGCGCTACTCTATTCTCCGCCGCCGCCGCCGTCGCTGTCGCTGCCGCTGCCGCACCCTCTCCCGTCTTTCTCGCGGTCTGCTCTGTGTTTGCATACCGCGACGGTCTGCCAGGGACTGCCGCGGTTATCCCCGCGTAAAATACCCGCGATGATGAAATCACAGCCGAAAGAAAAATTTGAGAATTTCTTCCTTGACATTATCTAACCAACCTCCGTGCGTCAAGAAGCATCAGAGAGAGAGAGAGAGAGAGAGATTGCCCGAGAGATTCTTTATTCTTCGATGCTCGATGACATACAAGCAGAGCAACGAGCAGCTTAAAGAGACTTAAAGAGACACCGAGACGAGACGAGACGAGACGAGAAAAAGCAGACTGTGAAAACTTAACCGGTTAATCAGTAGCCTAACGAGGAGGGCGTTCGTCGTAACGCCCAATAAATGATACACGCTGACTGGAGTCAGTCGTTCAGTAACGGCATGGGAAGGAAAGGAGGAGTGGGTGAGGCCAGCGAGGAAAAGGGAGGGCTCGGTGGATAGGCAATTATTTCGAATTCAGTACGTTCGAATGGCAACCATGTCCGATTGATTATTATCGAATCGAGCAAACGAGGGTGCTTGATCGAAGGCAGTCGAGCGCGTTCGGACTTGGACACTGATTAGTATCGCGCCGGCGCGGTGACCGCCGCGCCGTCGTAAACACGCGTGTGCAATTATTATCGTGCGTTCGGCCGATCGTGATGGTGGAAAAATTATCGCTTCTATTTATTAAGTTTCCGTGTTTGTATACTTATACCGACGTATATTCTCCCGTCACCTGTCTCCCGTAGACGCGACGGGAGAAGCCTCTCTTTGAGGGTAAGGCAAGTTTTTCGGTAGCGGCAGGAGTGCAAAAGTTTGCACCCCCAATTTCTCCGGTGGAATGACGATCAAAGTCAGATTACGCGCTACGGATGAAGCTACTGCGATGAAGACTCAGCGCTCGGCGATATTTCACAAAACGGCGAAAGAGCGCCGAGGGCGGCGAGCCGTTGCGCCGGCATCCTCTTTAACGCTCCTCCTTCTTTCCTCGTTAGTACGATTCTCTCGCGACTTAATGATGTTTGCCAAGTAACACCGGCTACGAAGCCTGCTACCAGCTGCCCTGCGTCAGCGTTTCGCGTCCCGACTCGAGTCGATATCTTGCACACTCGTCGTACACTCGTCGTGCGTCGAAATTACGAATAGTTCTTTCGTCCGCCAGTGCACATTTTTGCGATCAATTTGGCGCGCGAGTTATACTCTCTCTTTCAATTTCAAATATTACATGTACCCGCGTGATCTTTGGATGACGCATTTATTTCTCCTGCAAAGCGAAGTATTTCGTGTGTAATACGTTTCATTCAGGTTTGCAAGAGGTTGCTGTGAAAAATGGCGATGCGTTGTGCGACATGTACGCATTTCGATCTACCTCAATGTCGAAAAGATTTGTTTAAGGGTCTTCAGAGATGCCATGCGCCGCCGTCGCATGGCAGACGGCGACGTTTTCAGCGCAACGCAAACAGCGGCAAACCGAGCAAATTGGCAAACAGTTGGGGACGGTGCAACCGTGCGAAGCAATTACGGATTTTGCGTGAACGACGCGTACAAACTCTTTGTGCGTGGGTGAAGGGCGCGGAGAGGGTTTTTCTGCTTCGTAGCAGTGGCGTAACCACCATCTCAGAGATGCTATTCTTAGAGCAAATTCGTAACAAGCAACTCTCTCTCTCTCTCTCTCTCTCTCTCTCTCTCTCAATTTGCAATAATTTGATTGTCAAATAATTTACACGAATAATACAAGTCGAACGCGTACACATTTGTCAAACATAGAAAACTCGAGAAAGCTTGGTTTTTACAGTCTCTTTCTCTTTCCAGATCTCGATCTCGATTTATCCATCGATGTTATCGATGTCCTCTTCCTCTCGAACTCGTTTCTCTTCTTTCTTACTACAAATTGCAAGCTACTTTCCTATTAACGATGCTTCAAAAAACTGCAATTTTCCAAAGAAGCTGCATTTCTCTTGGCGTATTTCTTGACAATTGAAAATTATAAATCGTTATAGAGCTCTCGCGTGCCCAACATGGCCCAACATTTATTAACCGAAAACAAAAAGAAATGTGATAGAAAAAGAAGGCTTTGAGCAAGATAAAGTTTCTCACAATCTTTGGACTTTTCTCCAGCTAGCGACTAACCAAGTTTACGCCATGTTTACGCCATTGGCTCGGGTTTGAACCTGGTTTGAACCAGGAACGGGCGGAACAGTAATTGAAGAGCGAGTCGGGGATTACGCTCGCGTTTCTAATGAGACGGCCGAGAACTTGACCCCCCACGGAAGAATGCCTCGCACCCTCCCTCCCGCCGACAAATTTGTCTGTTCGAGCTATGTCGGCGGGTGTGACGATAACGACTAAGCTACGGCACACACGACGGAAGATGTATCGACCTTGAGGAAAAAATAACTCGCGTTCCTCGACATCGCGCAATCTCGCCTCGCATTACGTTCAAGTCACGCAGGTTCGCGTGTTCCTTCGCTTTTTTTTTTCTCTCTCGATTTTTATTTATTACCAGGGACGCACGTATATATAATCTAGGGACGCGAGAGACTCCATCGGCCGTCCGGTTGTGTCTAATCGAGAAGCGCGGTAGCGCCGATCAGCCATCAGCGTTGACGACGTCGCGCCTGAGAACTCGCGGGGGGAGGCGAAGGAATTCCTCTTATCCGTCCGAAAATATAAATTTCCGTGCGATTTAACTGCCGGGAAGTAATTTTGCGAGCAATTAAGAAGACGGCAGGTATGTTTCGACGAGAGAGAAAGCGGGAGATGTTACCAGATAACGACAGAGAGAGAGAGAGCCCGCCCTTCAATTATCTCGGTGCGCGTTTTTATGGCAGCCGGTTTGGCTTACACCATTAGCAACCCGATATCGACGCGGGAAGCGACCCTTTCTCGTCTCGACGATCTCGTCTATGATTTGTTTTCGTTCGTGCAACTTTAAGAGCCTTATCTCCGGACTCGGTGTGAAAACTAAGCGCGTATACAAGCGCGTAGCTAAACATTAAATATGCGACCTAGAGTATGAGGAAATAATCGTTCTTGCGATGCTACATATATATATATATATATATATAGGAGGGATCGGTACAATCACACTTATATATTTTATACTTTTATACATTTATGCCGATGTCACAAAAATAACTCGCCAATGATCGAACTTTGCGCGACTCAAAACCGTCATTGCCGACACGCTTCCGTGAATAGCAGGCACGCGATGTGTGTCCGCGTATTTACGCACGTCCTCTCGGGGACGTAGCTTCAGAAGTTTGCGCTTAATCATGAAATGGACTCGGATTGGAAACGGCAAACTCCTTTCCCTCTCTCTTTCGGACGAGAGTTTAGTTAACGACACTCGCTACGCTTTGAAGTACAACGCGCTTCCCTTCCGTACGCGCGCGCGTTTCGTTCCTATCCCCTTCCCTCTTCCCTCGATCATGCTTATTAACGAAAATGGATCGACCGTACCGTACGAATCACATCTCGGCTCGAGACTCGAGACTCGAGACATCGAGTCGAGTTTGTAGTTACCGAACGCTGCTTGCAAACCGTAAGCAAAGGCCTCGCGGTCTTTGCCGCTAAACGCCCACGAGCTCTTTGAGCTTCAGAGAGCGTTTTGCATCTCTCGTTAGGATCTACACGCCACTTACTTATCGTGCCGGGTCGCCTTCGATAATATAATTGGCTCGCATTAGTTTGCGCGAGATTGCTCGTCGCAGGAACCTGATGTGATGAAAGGCAGCGAAAGTTTTGAAGGAAATCTCGTGTTCTCCTTCTTCTTCTTCTTCTTCTTCTTCTTCTTTCTTTCTTCCGTTTTTTTTTTTTTTCAGTCTGATTAGGAATTACGATTAAAGGAATCATAATAGAGATTAAGATTGGTAATTTCGGCGATTGTTGAAAAATTTGCGACGCAATTCTATCGGACGGAAGCACGTTGCAACTTGGAACCTTGAAAATTGTAACCGATAGATTTGCGCGAGTATGCCGAATCACGTTCGTAGGGTGCGAAAAAATATCAAGTCATCGCGGGTAATGGACACGGTGCACCGCATGTGTCATAATAGAGCGAGTGGCGGGTGGCGGATGGCAGATGGCACGTGACTCACGCGTGCATCTCGCATCGGCGATTCGTAAATAAATTAGCCATTATTGTGTCTCGCGTTTATCTACGTTACTTACGATCGCCTCATCAGTCGGGGCGTTCTTTGAGAAGCGCTGCGATAACACTCACGCTACGCAAGTAACATATATTATTATTATTATTATTATTATATAGTGTGGCATTTCTTTTTATTCAATAATATTCTGATTATCATACGTTGACATTATACCTGTACGAGGATCAGCATGTGTCAACATGACACGTAAAATGCTTCCTTCCCGCTTGACGATTACACGTACTTCTCGAGACGAGAAGTACGTGTAATGGTTATCGACGCTGCTTTATCGTCGAAACATCGTATTTGCAGGTCTCTATTTTGCAGGTGAGACTAATCGTTCAGCTGTGCTTAATACCGTACGATACAAGGGTCGGACGGCGCGGCGGGTGCGCTCAGGTAGAATAAGTGGACTTGCGGCTGGCCGTTTAACGTCGACGTTGAGCGGCTGAGCCCCACTTGCCGACGCGTGTCGCGATCGCGATTCTGATCTGGTTTGACGGGAAGCCAATCAGACGTCGGACCCTTGACTCATAGAGGTTCGATACGCCTCTATAATAAAAAGGTCACCTCGATTCCAAAATCATTTCTCCGAATGAACAATTCGGTCGATGGGAATTATTATGTGGCTCTTGAATAGTGTATCCTGAGAAACACTTCTTTTCTCAAAAAGTCCTGCCTTATTACATGCCTCCTCGACGTGCTGATATTATCGTTATGTCATAATAAAATAACTCAACCTGAATCCGAATTGCGTTACTCGAGTTATCGCAGCGGATAATCAATCGGTTCGTGAACGACGCGTGTACCTCGCTCGAGCATAGAGCTCGCCGAGTCGCTTCAACACCTGACTAGCCAGGCCGATCGATACCGGGAGGATCCGTGGTAACACTGCGCGTGCTCTTTTACACTCGTATTTTCGTACTAATTCGAGGTCTGCTGCTTCTCGGGCGGGGAGGCCCGAAAATCAAAGACATCGTCGCTCTCGCGTCGTCACGCAAAAAGGGAAATCCAATATAAAACCAATATCGGAAGTGACGAGCCGTGAATATTCCATCCTCTCTCGCGAGTCATCCTCTCTTTTTCTTCCGTTCCACCTCGCGAAAGCAATTTTCTTATGGGCGTCTGGAGTTTCATCCGCGATAGCTCCTTGGCCTGTGAACGTGTTCGGCGAATGATCGATGTACGTACTGCTCTAGGACGAAAATTTGTAGATTCGCATCGAGGATAAATGTAACTGCTCCAACTAATCCGAGCTTCATTTTTCGGCGAGAAGGAAAATATCTTTCCAAGCAGCGGCGCTTTCAATTCGACGATTGCAATTTCTAATTTTAATGCATCTGTCATTTCTCTCTCTCTCTCTCTCTCTCTCTGTCTCTCTCTCTCTCTCTCTCTCTCTCTCTCTCTCTCTCTCTCTCTCTCTCTCTTTTCCCTTTCTTGAGAGTCGATATTCCCCAGGAAACTTTCCCCTCTTTTTATTATTTCTCAATGTTCTTCATTAACAATTTCTACATTAATGTTATATAATTTGTAACACGCGCACCTCTGGACTTGGTTAATTGTTGTGCATACAAAATATTTTCGTCCTCTCTGCCGTTGTCTCTACGACATGCTTCTGAAAACATCGAGTGAATGAACTTTACGTGTGTAAAGTACTGATTCTGATGTAGCGCCCCAGTTAATAATTAAATTCGGCTGTGTCGTTTGCGTAACATGTGAGTGCAATTTTCAGTGCAATCTTTCAAACAATGCGCGCCTCACTGTCGAAAATAAAATGGATAGCGTGGTGAGAACGATGAATCGTGAGAAACACGTGTGTAATCATACGTATATAGGCTCGCGTAATACGTGTGAATGCAAATTCGTGCGTGAAGCACAGTGGAGAAGATATCGCGTTTATGCATAATGAGACAAAGTATGCGAGAAATACTCAACCTTATTGAATGATCCGTAGTTGCCGGCAGGATTTACCACGATTTCTTTGGACGGCACCTGCGACGCGCGAACGATCGTTCATTAAATATCCGTTCCGTGTAAATAGATTAATATATGTTCAGCTGTAATGCAAGATTTGCGATAGTGCACGATTCTCTCTCAACATTGTCTCTATGCCCGTACTCGATACTATTCAACTTGCTGACGTGATTGCCCCTTGCGTTTTCCCCTTGATCGAATTTATTATTCGTTATCCCAACTTGCGCATCCCTACATATTTTTTCTTCTTATTGCGACTATTGCGATTTCAAGTCTGCAGCACTTTCCGACGTACGTCGAGCGAATTTTCTCTCATCACACCGCGACACTCACGTGGTCAGAATCAAAAGAGAGAGAGAGAGAGAGAGAGAGAGAGAGAGAGAGAGAGAGAGAGAGAAATGGAAGGAGAACGCACGGACAAACAGCACGGAGAAAAGAGTGTTTTTTACTCGCGTACTTTTCTTCATGTCTATTAAAATCAGTAACAAGTAACTTTATAAAGCAACTGAGCGTTACACTTATATCTGCTCAATATCTCGGAATATATATCGAGTATATATCGAGCGAAAGTGCATATAAATTTTGTATGCAAATTTGTACTTTTGTCCTCGCGGTCCCAGGTAAAACTTTCCATTATCCACATCGATCCCGTATCCGTCACCTCCGGGTACAAGCGATCCTCGTCGACCGGGTCGCCGCGCCGGGTCGGAAATGTAAATGAAACCGAGGCTGAACCTCGGTACACCCTCGCGCATCCTGCGCATTGCCCCGGGGCGCGAAGTATGTAAATGACACGGCGCGGCGCGGCGCGTCAGATACGATCTCGTTACCAGCGCGACAGACGCAGGGACTGCGAGAGGGAGAATTTATTGCACGAGGATCAACGCTCACCTGAGGGATTTTGCAGGATTTTGTGATGAATGAGAAAAAAGTGTGAAAATTTGAAAATTCTTACACTTTCCCCTCTCTCCTCACAATAGATTCGCTGTGTTTCGTTTAAAAGTGTAGCTTGAGATGTTTTACACGGCGTATTCTTTTACCTTCTGTTCTGTTCGGCACGTACGGCCGATTGCACGTGGAGGAAACGAAATTATTATTATTCGAAGCCTCCTTCTTCCGTTGCGCAGCAAATATCGTCCCTTGGCAGGGACTTTGTTGATAAAGGATGAACAAAGTGGTGACTTACCGTGGCAGGACATGGCGAACTGTCCCTGGAGAGACTGCCGAGAGTCACCAATAAGCGACGCGGGGCCCCCAACACTGAATCTCGCCATCCCTCTGCGAAGCAAGAAACAAAATTGCATTATATATCGATGGACGTTTTTCATTCGGCGTGCAATGTGCCGTCTGTTTCTTCAAGAAGTGACTTGACATTTGATTAGCTTACAATTTATCTGACAAAAAAATCAGGTGACATTCAAGTATCTCTTTGGAGTTGGAAGAAGTACAAATTCAAAAACATCGCGTGTTCGCGATATTTTATTTTTGAAGATTGAAGGGTGTCGTAGGATTCTACAACAGCTTTAAACTCGATCGAGATAGCCATAACTCTCTATCTTTGAGAATAATAACTTGCGAATGAATCGCAGTCACGTAAACGGGAAGTTTTCAATTAAGGACAATCAGATCTCGATGGTGTAATATCATGCGGTGTAATATTGCGCCGCCTAAATCCACTTCTAACGCCACCCTTGGTATAAACGAGACAAAGCGATCCGTCATCAGGACGTTTAATGAAAGTCGCGCCTATAACTTAGGGCCGTCCGGCTTAAGACGCAAATGGAGAAGATGGGAGGAATACACACAGAGAGAGAGAGAGAGAGAGAGAGAGAGAGAGAGAGAGAGAGAGAGCGAGAGAGAGAGAGAGAGCGAGCGAAGGAGTCCAAGGTGGAGGTTGAACGTTATATCCAACAATATGAAACTTCCCTGCGGTTCACTTCCTAATCTATTCTCTCTGTAATAACCATATTATTTCGCGAATATGTACGCCCATACCGTACATTATGTATTTTTATGTTGTGTTGTAAATTCGTCAACAATCAAACTCGAGACACTAGAAAAAATATTTGTTTATTGTAACAGACACTTTTGTACTCTTAAATAGCTAAAAAATTTTCCAGGCGAACGCGCACACATCTCTCTCTCTCTCTCTCTCTCTCTCTCTCTCTCTCTCTCTCTCTCTCTCTCTCTCTCCCTCTCCCTCTCTCCCTCTCTCTCTCTCTCTCCTCTCTCTCTCTCTCTCTCTCTCTCTCCCTCTCCCTCTCTCTCTCTCTCTCCCTCTCTCTCTCTCTCTCTTTATGTATGTATGTATGTATATATGTACATATTAATAAAGTTAAAGGCAACCTCGGTCGAGAAGAATAAGATGCGGCTCTGGTGCGTATTATCCTGACCAGTCGCCGGATTAATAAATCTCAATTACGCGAGTTAATGCAGCAGAGGGTAATTCTCTCCCCTAGGTTCTCAGGCAAGTCGCCGGATGCGCGAGGGTGAAGGTATTTCTATTGCGTATTGTTGCCGAGACAACGATGCTGACGTGGTTTCATCACGCTTGTAAACCATCGGCCAATATTCTAGAGATTTGTATCGCTGTGTATCAGCGAATTCTTCGCCTATTGTTAACCGTCTTCCGTCGTTCCGATCGATCTTATCGACGACGACAAAAATGGTTGTTGATCGTGTTTCGAGGAGTTTATAAATGAGAGAAGACATGAGTACACATACGATCACACGTATACGCGATGGTAAATGAAAAATATTTTAGAAATTCAGAAAGTAGAACAACAAGCAGAAGGGCAAGATATCGAACGCGCGAATATCCGTAGCGATACGCTGTACATGAGAATATACGGCTATTGAGAATAGAAAGCTCAAAGAATGTCCTCTTCATTCGAGACGGAGTGAGACGAGAAATTTCGTATTCCTAGCCTGGGATTAAAGGCGGATCCGCGATACGGCGAATATCGGCGAGTCGTGGACGAGTCGCGAGTCAGCTAGCCAGCCAGTCGCTGAATACAAATACACCTCTCGTTTGCGCGTCGAATTAAATCGAAATAAATCATAAATATTAAACGAGGCTTTCAGTCGCGGGATTACGAGGGTTGGGTTACGTCCCCTCGCCCCGATGGGCGGAAATTGCGCGCGCGGTGCTCCTCCCGTCCTTCCCTACGGCCATCCAGCCCCCGATCCCGGCTCGCCCGGGTTAGGGAATTTCAATGACAATAGACTCGGTGCTCGACCGAGCGCCGTACATCTTGCGTGCTACCGCTTTAACCGCCGGAGAAGGCGCCGCCGCTGGCGTGACGTCTTCCAGGTGTCGCGCCAGCGGCACACACAAGAATCGTTCCGATCGCGCTCTCGCGCGATCCTCCCGTGAAAGGTAAACTTTGGCTGAAGCTGAGAGAACCATCGCAGTTATCGAAGAATATTTCCACGTAATTTAATCGGTGATAAACTCAAATTCTTTTACATCCAACTCATAATTCTAAGAGGATCAACACCATGGGAGGGAAGTTGAAAAGCGGGAGTGGTTGAAAATTGAAAAGCTGGAGTTTCCGATCTCGTTTCACAACGAGCTATAACTTGTGTAAGTGGATTAAAACTCGCTACGCCATAAAAAGTACGATAAGATTACTGCGTATGCCCGGTAGTGCCCAGTCTTTATCGCGATAGATCTCTGCGCGGCGAGATATCCAAGTAATATATAGTATACGTATCGCGCTTGCATATGTTCGATTGTTTCGAGATGTGCTTATGAGAGACCGAACACTTTGAGTTTGATACCGTGACGAATCTTTAATGTTTTTTTTTAAGCCGGTTAAGGCGATAACGCAACGATATACGAAGACACGTGTTATATAGTATATCTCGGAAGTAGTACGGAAAAATCGTCGCGGTTCAAGGAGAATCGAATCCTCGAGTCCCAATCCCGCAGGAACGAAATGGCTTGATTAACTGACGACGCTCGTCGTTACTGCGGCTACCCCACCGATTCGCTATTACCTCATGAGGGTGGACTAGGGTGGACTCTCTCCGGGCCGCTCTCCGCTTGGGCAAGAAGAAGAAGAAGAAGGTGGAAGGGAGGATCGACGGCCATTCGCCCTTTATTCGCCACGACACTGCGATCGCGTTCGTGCTTTTTCCTTTCGCTCGATAAAAAGCCTTTCGTCGCATGAGCTTGCCAGAGCGGCGCGACGTTTCGAGAGGAGATACGCACCGTCTTCTTTCGACTTTCGGAAATCGACCGCATGCTTAAATTCCTCCTCGTTGTCGTTTGGTGCGCGATGCGCAAACACGGTAACTGCGGAGGGAAACTCTCTTTCCTTCTCGCTCGGATCAATTCGGCTTGTCGCGCGACATATGGGGGAAGCGCTAATGCCATTTTATGGGCAAACTGTGATGCCCATAACGCAACATGGTAGCTACGTGATGATACCGGTTCACTTGTGTGAGTGAGTGGTAGAACACGCGGAAAGGCGGAGACCACGTCGCGACATTGCTATCGTCGTCGTCGTCGTCGTCGTCGTCGTCGTCGAGAACTGTCGTTACGTACCGAATAATAATACGCGCGATATGATGACGCTTTATTTTATTCATAAGGCGGGGTGGCCCGTTTTTACGGGCACAAGGCGGTACGAGAAAAGGGTGAGGGGGTTAGGGGTGTACGGGGAGGAAATACGAGGGTCAGATGTGTTTCGCAAATACTTTCGCTTTCGTAACTGTTGTAAAACTGTTGCGTGGCTTCAAGTGACAACTGCGTGAAAAATAAGGCGCGAACAGCGCGATAAGCATCTACTTGTGTTCGCGTGTCGGGACGAAATAGAAAGAAGATGTTGTTAAACCGTCACGCGCAAGATCAAGCCGCTAAATGCCTAGCATATGTATATTTTAAAGCGAATAAATCGCAGACGAGAAATATTATTATACAAAGCAAGCATGTATGTCGTTGGGTATATTAGATTTCTATCTAACACCCCGCTACGTATCGTATACATATGCTATTTTATTTTATACAATTGTGAGGATGCGTTTGGTGCACACTTGTTTTTTTTTTCTATTTTTTTCTATTTTTTTCTACTTTTTTCTTTTTCAAGGCGTCAAGTGCTTTCTTTTCCTTTGCTCTGTTGTAGTGTATTATTGTTATACGAATTTTTGAAAAACAACAACGGGAACTCATCTCTCTTTAAATCTCTAATCCAAACTGACCCGTAATATCGCGCTGCTAGAATCGACTTTGTAACTTGTTTCGTAACTTCCAATGTCACATCGCGTGGTTATGCCCGTGGTTATACCGTAAACATAATAGCGTCTTTTCGAAAGCTGTCCTTCGAGACGGAATTAACACGCACTGCGAAATGTCGGTCTGCTTCGGTCGGTCGGTTTCGGAGTTTGCGGCTTGTTGGTAATTGTCAGCAAATATATTTGCTGGGAACGCATATGCACTCAAGTTAAAGCAAGGTAAAGTATGAAAGCTGTGTTGGCGTAACGCGTCAACGTCCTTCGAGTATCGTCAATATCAGAGGTCGGAACGATTTGCCTTCGCGGCGACATGACGTTACGATTCATTTTACTGGTCAATTACATTATCGTTTGTTCGTACATTATCGTATTGTCGTTTTGTTTTTTTTCTTTTTTTTTTTTTTTTGTCAAAGAGCGGCACGAAAGAAAGGATAATCTTACCGTTAGGACCGTCGTGTATGTTTGCCACGGAACTCTTGCCACAGTTACCGTAGTGACTAATTGAACTTGTTGACGCGAAATTCTTGAAATCGTAGAATCGACATAGAGTCAATACGCGTGGGTCCGATGTATAGTCACGCAGGTCACGCAAGAAACGCGCGGACAAGTAGACCTGACGCAACATTGCTCATCACAACATCGCTCAGCACGTCGCTCCGTCGCTACTAACTTATTACAACTTGAACGACCGCTTAAATCGACGCGAAACATTCATATTCTTTTCCGCTTTAACGTTATATCGTGGTGCGCACCTGCTTACACACCGGCAGATATATATTGATGATCGACCGACTAATCAATCATATTGATCGATGCAGACTGTTGCGTATATCACGCCAAATTTATTTTAATTTTGTTTAAGAACCGTACTGCCTGCATTATCGCATAATCGCGCGCCGCGATCGGGAGCAAGTTTGACCGAACTCTCGATGCTTTTCTCGGCTCAGTCGGATCCTGTGTTCACTGCGTGCGCAATCTGCACTCTTTCACGCGTGTAATTCGATCCAATCGGCCAAAGCTTTCGCCCGATCCTTT